TAAAGTGTGTTTCCACATGCGCCATAATTGTAGTGTTTGTTTCGAAAAGAAAAAATGACGTCAAAAGCTATATTTCACATAAAATCGCATAACTCAAGATAAAATCGTAGTAGGATGCGATATTCAAAAAATCTCGAAAACGTCCCAAGGTACTAATGTACTCTTCTAAACTGAATACCAAAAATCTACTTAATCCTGCCTCCAGCAGAATGGAGTGAACTCAAACTTTCGCAAAAAAATCGCCAACTTATGTTTTACCCTGTATCTTTTAGCAGGTGGCCGGAAATCTGTCAACAACTGGAAATTGAGTAGCAATTAGAGCATCCTTTCACTCCTGAAAATTTGAACAAAATCGACCTGCTAGATTTTGAGTTATAGTCTTTCAAAAAGTGACCAAAAACTAGGGTGTTCGAGTTCGATTGATGCGTAGTTTATAGTGTATTTCGGATAATCCAGCGATCAGAAAATGGAGAGTCGGATAATCGAGAGTCTACTGTAATTTGTACCAATGTTAATTTTAATTTTTTTTAGTTCCTTTATTCCGACTTAAGAATAAAGATTTCCTATTTAATTGCGCCTCAAATAGTTTTAATTTTCAGAAATTAATTCTCTTTTTGTATTTTAAGTCGTTGTAAATTATTGTTTCATTTTTTTCTGGTCATTACAATGCTTTATGGCAGAAGAAATAAGCCCTTTAAAACTATTTTCGAACATAAAGTTTGAATAATTTTGGTGCATAAATAACGCTGGTAGCACGTTTTTTCCACAATTCATTAAGAATAAATGGGCCCTAGGGGCTGAATGGAAAATTCTTCTATAGTAGCAGAAAGCCCTTTTAAAACCATTATCAAATAAGTTTGGGTTGCACGTTTTTTCAAAAATTTGTTGAGATTAAACGACCCCTAGAGGCTCAATGGAAGAAACTTTTATGGCAGCAGAAAGCCCTGTGAAAATTAATATCAAATATAAAGTTTGATTAATTATGGTGCATAATTAGCAGTTTTAGCACGGTTATTGCTGAATTTGTTGAGAGCAAAGAACTCCTGGGAGATCAATGGAATATATTTTTTATGGCAGAAAAAAACCCCTCAAAAACTATGCCCAAATATTATAAAACGGCTCCTACACCCAACTGCAAGAACATATCGCAGGCATTTTTTAGAAAACAAATACTTTCCATTTACACCATTTAAAAACCGCAATTTAGAGCGGAAGAAATCAATACATGTGGGCTAAATAAGCACAAATCACAGATGTTAGACCATTGCCGCCAATTTGAATTTTTTTGACAGGTCGTTGGATTGCCTTATCGTTAAAAGAAACCAGATGATTTTAGGATTAAAAAAAAAACCAATACACAATAAATTAATAGTTTATTTGGAAATATAAATAATAAAATAATAATTAAACAATATGAGAAAATTTAAAATATCACATTGAATACCAGCAAAATTAAAAAATAAATAAGATTAATTGAACTGAAATTAATTTTGGTTCCCTTTCCATTTTTAGAAAGAAGCCACATGAATGAAGGATAAAAAAACGATACTATACATTAGATGAATAATTTATTTGGATTTATAATTAATAAGATAATAATTAATTAATAATCAATCAATATGACAAAAAATAAAATATCACAATATTGAATAAAGAGCAAAATTCAAAAAGAGAGAAAAATAAAATAAATGACTAAAATTAATTTTTGTTCACTCTGCATTCTGTTTCAATTTCACACATATTTGCTTTTTGCAGGTCTTTTAACCTAGCTTGGGAAAAAAAAAATAGTTTATCTGCATTGTTGAGGGTATCCCGAAATCTAACAGTAGCTCCTGAAATCCCTTTTTATACAAATTCATCAAGATATATTTTTTAGAAAGATTCATAAATTATTTGACCTATCCAAATTTGACTAAAGGCATCAATTGGTCCGTTTAACAACCACGATATTCGGGATCAAATCCAAAAAGCATGGCGCACTAATAACATGGGATTTTTGGGCTCCATGGATTTTGCCAATTTCTTGATACCTATATCGTCGGGGATCTAATTCTTAGCAATTTTTAAATGGGCCAAATCGCCCAAATTTTGGTACGTATCACGGTTTGTGACATATAAGCGGGATAGACAATTTTTTGTCCTAAAGAATATACGATATAAGGATGTTGGTCATCCAAAATATTGACACGTAAACCATATTTTACGTCACTCGCAAATGTTTATAGGTCATCGCAGCTTTCAAAATATGTTGACCTGTTCTGTTAATATTTTGACTGACAAACATCAGCATATCGTATATTCTTCAGAAAACAAGTACTTTTTTCAACGCTTATATCATGTCTCACAAACCGTAATATGTACAAGACTTGGTCCTATTTAAATATTGTTAGAAATTAAATTCTCTACGACATATCTAAACAATTGGCACAATCCATGGAGCCTACATATCCCATGATAGCCGTGTGTTATCCTTTCGTGGAAAGCGTCCAATTTTGATGCGGATTTTTGCATCAAGCTCCTTGTGACGAAAGAAAGTGTTTTTCACTTTAAACTCCTTAAAATAAAACATCTGAATTTTTCCAAACACTAATCCTCTCATCACAACCAAAGCGACAAGGAAAACAAAATCCAAATTAGACGAGTTCCAACACTTGGATTTCGTTAGCTACTTCAAATGGATTAAATGGGCCTGTGTCAATTCAGCTGTGGTTCTTGAACGATATTTGGCAGAAAGTGTGAGGGAAGAAGAAAGAAATGTTTCATGGAGCATGAAGTGACTTACTCTACTCTGTAAATGGAACAACCCTAATAAACCCTTGAGTAAGTTAGGGATGCTGCAACTAAATATACTATTAACAGTCCAAAGTACCACATCCCGTGGTATATATATTTAAATATCGGAACATAAGAGATTCTGATCTGAGTAGCTCATGCTTGCTAATGTAAGATTCCATGATTTAGACTACAGTGACTCTATTACATCACAGTGGCGACAATTGAAGTCTTATTTTTGATTAGTTCTTTAACCCTCCGTCACTCGCGCCTCATTTTTTTACGCCATCGCTCGCGAGTTTGATTTTATCTAACATCCATTTCTTTGCAATAAAACTATTATTTTTCATACAAAAGTTTGGTATATTAATTAAATTGATTTTTAATAATTTTATATAAGTGTTGTTTTAGTAAAAACACCAAAATACAACTTGAAAATCTATCAAAATTGATCAAAATTAACAAAATTTCAACATACGCCATCACTCGCGTCGTTAGATTGTTTCTAACATTCACCCGCTCGCATGTTAGATTTTTTCTAACAATATGTCGTTTTGGCACAAAAACAGAAAAATCGCCCCCGTCGACTATACATGCATGTAGTAGGTTGGGTGATAAAAGCATTCCTGGATACACAGCAAAAATAATGAAAAATTGTAGAAATTATAACAAATTTTTAAAAAATGTTAGATTTTTTCTAACGGTGCGAGCGATGGAGGGTTAACACGTACACCGCCACCATGAGATGAACAAAACCGAGCCCTCCAGGCCACTCTTATATTATGTAATATGATCGCTCACTTCTAATATTTCTTTGCAAAACTCAAACAAGTATTTTTTTCCGTGGGGCAAATTTTTTTTCTGGCCCGCCAGGCCACACAAAATATCGTTTCATATAAATACAGGCGACCTGTGACATTGCAGCAGTAACACAGACCCATATAGCATGATACGTAATGAGTTAGTGAGGCACATACGACGAGTCGCAGTCCCTAAAGTTTATATTTTCTGAGGCACTAACTACTACGACTCTCATAGCAGTGAACGTGTTAAAATCCTATGCATTCATATTGAAAACGCCGCCATTTTCTTGCTTACCTCTTGCTAATTTTAAATATGAATATAAAGGATTTAAATGGAAATCCATCATAAAAAATTGGAAACAACGTATTTGATGTATGTACCTAATAATAGACATCACCCCAGTAGCACAACAATATTGGTAAAATATTATATTTACATATTGGCCCAAGAATGGAAACGACAGATTTTTTTTTTGCCCAATATATTTTGTAAATATGAATCCGATATTGAAGAAAAATATTGGCTCAATATTGCTAATTAATAAACATGTAATATTGCTTTTAGAAATATACCCAATATTTGTTTTTCAGATTGGCACAATGTATACTTCTTATATGAATCCGATATTGAATATAAATATTTCTCCAATATTACCAATTAATAAATATGAAATATTTCTTCTATAAATATTTACAATATTCCCTAAAAATATCTACAATATTTTCTTGGAAAACACATGTATTTAACCAAAGCTCCAACACCTGCAGACTAGACCGGTTTCCGGCTTCAAGCTTGTGAGCGAAGCACACCAACTTAAAGAAACAGGTTTGAAGGAAACTCAAACACTAGAAAACAGCAATGCCATCGGTAGCGCGTGGTGCCCTCTCTCGGTGGTCCTGATTGATATGGAAAAGGTACATCTCCTATATATCACCAATATTGGATAAATATTAAATATAAAGGTTGGTTTTTTGGAAAAAGGATGGATTTAGGTCAAAAATAAACGGCGTTGAAGAAGATAGTGTGTATTTGCCTTCTTCAACGCCGTTTATTTTTGACCTAAATCCAACCTTTTTCCAAAAAACCAACCTGAATATCTACTGAGGTCACTAGCTATAACAAATTAAATATAAACATGAATAAAAGATATTGCCAAACATTGCTTGGATCCAAAATTGGATTAATAATGTAGTAAAAAGGTTAATCTCCAATATATTACCAATATTAGCTACAAATTGCCAATATTGGACCCATATACAATATTTCACCAATATAGAAGCAATATTTGGGCAATATGGATAAATATATCAATGTTATATTAGAAAAATTTGTTTTACCATATTATATCCAATATTGGCTTAATAATGCAAATAAAAATATTATCTGTGCATATTGGTCCATTAATGGATACAATACTATGGTAATATTAGAAAAAGTTGTATTGCCAATATTGTCTAAATAATGTCAATTAAGATATTTTTCCTGTATATTAGCCCATTCTTATGTAAATACGTAAATATTTATAATATTACAATGTGGAAAAATATGTATTGCCAATATTGGCTCAATAATGCAAAAAAAGAACAATTTTTTTGTGCTTATCGGTTCAATGATGGATAAATATATCACTGTTATGTAAGAAAAATTTGTATTGCTAATATGTAACCAATCTTGGTTATATGCTGCCGATAAAAATATTGTTTGTGTATATTGGCCCATTCTTGGATAAATATATTATTATAATGATGAAAGAAGTTGTATTGCCAATAAATGTCCAATGTTGGCTAAAAAATTCCAATATTGGGCCAACATATAATATTGGTCCAATGTATCTGCAACATGGGACCAACATTGTGTGCTACTGGGGCAGATACTTTGTTTTCAATTTTTTATGATATATACCTATCCATTTAAATCCTATATATTCATATTTGAAATTAGTAAGAGGTAAGCAAGAAAATGGCGCCGTGACCTCTATTGTCGCCACTGTATATAAAGGTTTATTTAGTCTCTGTAATTTAGACAAATCACCTTGCTTCTTCCCTTCTTCACTAAAATGACATTAGTCAAGGTGGCAGTATTCTAGGCCAAATTGGCTAGAGGCAAGGAAAATCGCCATATCTAGGACAAATTATTGAGCACATAAATAACCTAACTATTTCCTGTTTCCACACGATGCTGTCTATTATATCCTGTACTAGGATGGAAAACTCTATAATACAGCAACATAAATATTATCCCCACTATAAAAGGGATGACATTCAAGTAGATAATTGGCCTGTAGTAAACCATCCCTTGTAAAGTCTCGTCGGCATTGCAAATCCACAATACGTTGGCTAAAGTGTTCTCGCCAAAAAGAATACCGTAAAATATGAGGTATTTTAGGAAGGTGGGACCCTCTACCAGCACTACCTAGAATTAAATTAAATGATATTAGCTTGAGTATTGAGAAAACGTTAGGAAATTTAACAATATAGAATACGAGTCATTTTAGGTGGGACGTGGGACTCCCGGGTCAGTGGCGGATACAGGGGGGGGCAGTGGGGGCAACTGCCCCCCCTTTTTAAAATTAAAAAAAAAATTTAAAAAAAAAGAAAACAAAACCATATTTTAAGTTTTGATAATGTTTAGAATAGGTTTCCATATCAAAAAATCACACTCTAGTCCTAAGAACTTTAGGCCGGTCGTCCTTTGGATGCGTTTTCGTCCGAACTGCATTCGTCAGAAAACGGACGAATAATTTCGTCAGCTTTCGCACACTTAATATCGTCCACTGGACAAGTTTTTGCATTTCGAAGTCAGTCTTTACGTAGTGGAGTGATATGGAGAATTGTCTTTTAGAAAATAATTTTCTTGTTGGACGGCGATTGTTAAAAAAAAAGTGCTGGGCTAGGTAATAGATATTATAGCACAAGGAAAACTATTCGGAGAATTTTCAGCTCAATTCAACTGCTACAATTATCTCTGCATGCTCATGTAATTAATGTGACATGATTTGACGGTTATCAATTTTTTGATAACCATTATCTTCTCAGCAACACAGACAGCACACACAAATCATCAGAACTACTGCGAAAAATCCCATTTTTTTCGGATCAATCGATTTATTTTCAGTTGTTTTTTTTAGTGTTCCTATGTATCTTGTCATTTTTTCTACCTACACAACTTCAACTTTTTTCAATGGGACACCCTGTATATTATGCGATAAAATGAAAGATATTTCCTTCCTGATTCCGAATATATACATATATTAAATAAAAATATAATCAAAGACCCTGTACTCGGGTTTTTTTTACTTGCGTCTATTTCTCAACGTGACTCCTTCAGTATGCGCGTGCGCGTACTTTCCACAGAAGATTTTAAGGTTAGGTTTTCCTGTTTTGTTTTGATTTTGAACTTGTACTTGTTTCGTAACGTAACATTGTTTCTACTGACCCTAAAGTTTCTATTCACTCCGTTTAGGGTAATTTTTGTAGTTACATATCTGTTGATTCGTATCGTGATGGAGGGAAACAGTGAAAACATTAAAAAGGGCTTATAGATAAGTAAAAGTGATTGAGTAAGTCTAATGAGAAGTAAGTCCAGAAGTGAAGATGTATCCAAATTTTGTAGATATGTATATGTCTGTACTTGGTGTTCCAAAACATTTTCAAATCAGGGCAATTTAAGCAGACATACCAAAAATATGCATGATTCGTTGGTGGCTGGAAGGAAAAAAACAATATTTCCTAGAAAAAATGATTTCTTTGTCGGCGATGCCCGGATAAACAAAATCAAAAAATTGATGCTCTTGGACTAAATTTATTCTCAATTCTTTATGTGTAGAGTTTTTGCAACAGTTTTTGCTTATCCGGGCATCGCCGACAGAGAAATCATTTTTTGAAGGAACCTCGATTATCTGTGGCGGGGACTATAGATACTTTCTTTTAGATTTTATGTGCATTTTGATTTTTTCTGTGTCAAAATAAATTTTTCACCCAAATACATAGGTACCTTTGTGTTTTATTTATTACAGATATAAATAGTTAAGGGCTAGATTGAGTTTCTTGCGCTAATTTTTTGCTAAGTAAAAAATTATCCTAAACGGGGTGGATAGAAATTCCAGAGTCAGTAGAAACAAAATTAGGGAATTTAGGTAACAACGTACAAGATCAAAATCAAAACAAAACAAAAAAACCTAACCTAAAAATCTTCTATGGTAAGTAGGCGCACGCGCATACTGAAGGAGTCACGTTGAGATATAGACGCAAGTGTTTTTTTTAGGGGTATTTTTAAAAAAAAAATTAATGGGACATTCTATATATTTTTCTGTTCCGTTAAATTAGATGTTTTTTTTTTTGTAGTGACAACAATGTAGAACACTTTGTAGTTTTTAAAATTGTACTGTAAAAAACGCGAAAAAAATATATTTTTGGGGTAGGTATTTTAGTTGAGGATTCAGGATACCACATACAAACGCGGTACGTTAAGGTTAAATCGTTCAGGAAATGAAGGAATATTCACAGATCCTAAACGGTATAGCATATAGCTGTAATTCGGTGTCCTGATTGGTCGGTTCAAGGTCGAGATGAAAGTAAAGTTAACCTCACTTCTTCACTTTTGTTTTTGTTTGTTTTGTTATTAAACTTTGGATTTTGTTCCAAAGATGCCCGTTTGGAAGTTACGAGAGATTATTGTTTGGAAATATTACATATTATTTATTTATTATTTGTGTTGGATTTTAACTTTCAACTATTATTCGCCAGACCAGGCCAATAATATCTATGAATTTTCAAAGCTGAATTAATTGTTGGACCATCTGTCTGGATAAAATCCGTTTCCAAACAAGAAGATTGTGTTGTTAGTCCACATTATGTAACGATAATTTTTGTAACATTTCAATTACAGAAATGCCTTGATGAATTTGGTGAAGAATAATTAGTTACCTGGAAAATACTAGCTACCTACATTTCCAAGAGGTCGTGCTATAAATCAGTTCAGTTTGGTCAATTTGGAGATGCCAACGTACCCCAAATTAAAAACTCATCAAAGTTTTAAATTGTGTTTTACAGCATAATAGAAGTTTGTTACATTTCCAGGGTCCTTTAAAAAACTATTAGTAGGTATTGGAAAATATTGATTAAAATAAAATAACAGTGATAATAGGTTAGTGGCTATAATCCAATGCTATAATCCTTGTGTTTCACGATATGTTTGTATTAATAATCAAAATGTGTTCGCACCAATAATGGGAAGTATCCTTGAAGTTTTTTTTAGAAATAAATTGCATATTTTGGAAAAAAGGAATTACTTTTTTTTCGTGTGACATCCACCTGATAACACTCACCGAGTTCAACAGTAGAATACTTACTTTATTAACCGCCAATTTCATAATCAACTTGAAGCGAACTTTAAATTTAAGGTTATTATTTTTGTTGTTGTTGAAAATCAAACAGGTTATCAACTTTTAAGGGAGCTTTAAATTTGAAGTTTACTTCAAGTTGATTATGAAATTGGCCGTAAAACAGGCTTCATCCATCCCATTATTTTAATATCAATTATTTACTTATTATAAAGTCTGGAAGAAATGCAGGAATATACAGGGTGGGCGAGCGAAAACGAAACAAGGTCGATATTTCGTATTCATCGTTCATTGAAAAAAATCTCTCAAACCCGTCGATTTTTATTCGGAGGGGGAAATCTTTTGCACATATTTTCAATGTTGTCACTTCACCTATCTCGCGGGGGTAAGCTCCAACCCTTAAATCTTAAATGGCAGTAGGGGTCGAGCGATACCTCATTTCAAAGGTCATCGAATTCTCTTTTCAACGGTGCCTATTTTTTTGAATTTACTAAGTTTTTTTTTTCAATTTTTTTTTTAAATTGGAATGTATTTAGTTGAATTTTATTGAGTGATAAAAAAAACCTTGTGATTTCAAGTTGGATAGCACACAACTTTAAAAAAAAAAACACATAAAATCACTTCTTAAGTAAAAAAATTTATAACTACAAAATTGATAGTGCTCAAAATGACTAAAACAGTACTAGTTCCGTCTATTTTTAAATGCGTTTTCTCGAAAACCACTGCATCAAATTCAAAAAAATAGGCACTGTTGAAAAGAAAATTCGATAACCTTTGAAATGAGGTATCGCTCGACCCCTACTGCCATTTAAGATTTAAGGGTTGGAGCTTACCCCCGCGAGAGGGGTGAAGTGACAACATTGAAAATATGTGCAAAAGATGTCCCCCTCCGAATAAAAATCGACGGGTCCGAGCGATTTTTTTCAATGAACGATGAATACGAGATATCGGCCTTGTTTCGTTTTCGCTGGCCCACCGGGTATAACTGGACACACTAAACTTTTATTCCAACAAAAAAAAACTAAAAACGTTTATTAAGTACACTTAAAAAAAACAATTAGAATGTACAAAGTTAACATAAACTTAATGTAGGTAAGTACAGGGATTAGAATTTAGTAGCCCGATAATAACATAATCTAAGGTTCAAATTTATTCATTTGCACACACCTTGTGAGATTGTGCGGTATTTTTTTCTTTCTTGATGGAACAGAACTGAAACTGGTGTAGTCATGCCCAAGGCGTTTTAAAGGGTTGGAGATACCAACAGGTCATCCGCCCTTTCTTGCTCGTTTTCCTCCAAGGGTCCCTTGTGTTCTTCTACCAACTGACGTTGGCTGGACTCCAATTTTAGATTGATGCCTAATGCCTTTTTTATTCTGTTGATGTGCACTTTTCAGACCAGAATATTTGCCAAAAGTATGCATAGCACTAATTAGAGCACTGTCGGTTTTGACATATTTGTCTGTGTTCTCTACCATTTTTTTTAGGGCTGGTGAAAATGTTCCAACATTTTCAGCAATGCCATTTTTTATTCTCTCTACCAGCAAGTCCAGTTTTTTCAAAATTGTCTTCAATGTTGTTGTTTCCATCCATCTCAATATTATCAGTAACATTCAGAGGATCCATTATTGTTTCATCTGTTTTGCCGCTTTCCCCCTCTGTTTTCTCGTTTTGAGCAGGAGCATTTTTTTCAAAACCACAATTCAACTCCGCTAGCCATTCTCTAGAAACTTCCTTCCCTGTAGCTACTTTGAAAAGAATACTTTTGGAATTGACAGAACATGTGAAATAAGTTTCATTTATTTTGAAATGATTTAGTACTAAGGAAATATGCTTGCACAGTTGGCCAGTTGATCCAACAGTACAACTGCAAAATCCATCTTCTGCATTTACTACATAAGTTGCGTCGGCAGTAGTCTCTGACGGAACCAAGTATGTTCCATCATTATTTCGTTTTACTTCATTGACATTAATAGTACTCTTTATGCAGATATATTTTTTTAAAGCAGATTTCAAGTACCTTCCGTTGGAATATTCTATGCAACGACGTTGCATGTAAGATTCGTATTTA